AAATTGTATATATAATATATGTTATATATATAACCTATTATCCTCTTTTATGCCTCCCTCCTTTCCCCCTTATTTCTATGTTCTTGTCTAACAATAGTATCCCTTCTACTTTCCTGGCTTCATTTTCAGATTCTGCATGTCAGGGTGAGAACAGGAGGCTTATCCTATGCATTTTTACATCCTCAGTCCTCAAAACAGCTTCAGGAGCATAATAAATATGAATTTAAAAGTAATATAAAATGTTTATTGTTATGGTTACTGCTGACAAATCAGTGAGTCACTCGGAGTTCTAATAACATCTTTTCCCCAGATGAAGTAATATAGCAAATTGGTGCTTTATCTTTTTTTTTATTCCAAAGCAACATTAAACTAAAATTTAGATTATTAGTGATGCTTCGAATCTGCTTCAGTGAGTTTATCTTTGGTGGGGAGTGGGTTAAGAAGCTGTGGTCAAAAGTACCATCTCCAGGGCTGGTGTAGGGCTGAGGCAGGAGGATCACTGGGAGCTCAAGGCCAGCCTGGAGGCTGTCAGCTGATTGTTCTGAAATTTTGCAAGGCTGGGGAACGTTCGCATCATCTGCGAGTGGCAGGGTAAGCTCTGAGAGCGCTGGAGGCATCTTGTACGGAAGCCGCCTTTCTCTTCTTTCCCCTGTATCTATGCAGCTGTTAGGTTTATTTTTTTTTCTTTATTAGCAACTTCCGTAAAGTATTTATAAATTTTTTAAGAAGATGCTCTTAAATTTTTTCCTTAGATCCCATAATAGTCCTGGAATGGTTTCAGAGGATCTCTGAACCTGCTGATACTGTATCAAAGACTGTGGAGGGTTTGCACATATATGAATATCTTTTAACAGATTCTTTAAAAGATTAAAGTTGCAAAGAGTCAATAGTCATTATACATATTTTAAATCATATTTCAATTAAAGTAGGCCGCATGCAGTTTTCGCTTTTAGAAGCAGTCCTGTAGGAAGATCAATCAATACTGAAATGAGTCTACTACAAGCAAATTGTGTATTTCTTACGTAGCGCCACGGCCTCTGGTGGATCCTGATGTAATTACCCACACCACACCAACCGGATGAATGCTCACGTTAGTACTTGATAGAAATCTGAGGCCTGAAAGTTGGATTTTATTTCATTTCATTAGTCTGGTGCTGAAATCTAGAATGCGTGGTCTTGGTCGTCTCTACTAAAACAACTTGTCTTTTTCATGCAAAGCTGCACCGCCCCCTGGTGGATCCTTGTGTAATTACCTACACCACACATCTGGTGACTGCTGATTACTTCTTCCAAATCTGAGACCTAAGAGTTAGATTTTATTTCATTTTATTAAACTGATGCCCTTTTTATTTTTACACCGAAATTTTTTTATTAATTTTATTGAGAATCAAATAGCAATGAGACAGTTTCAAAACTGGTTAGTAGGACAGTTTCAATAGCTAATTCATAGTAGTTATTCATAGTGCAAGATCCAGACATGATACCCTGTCCAAACACTATTAATACAAATCTTTCTTCTCACTGAATTAAGAGAAAGTAGCTGTATATCTATCCTATTTTGGGTCTTTTTTTGTGTGTGTGTGGAACTGGGGATTGAATTCAGGCCCTTGCGCTTGCCAGGGAAGTGCTTAGTCCACTGAGCCATCTCCCTGGCCCATACTATTTTGTATATACAGATACAAAATGGTCCTTCATTTGCATCCCCTTTTTTGTTTAGTTTTATCAGAGATGGGTATTCCCTTGCCATTTAAATATTGTAGGTGTGTGAGTTCAGCAAAATAATCCAATATAGTCCAGTAGTCCATAACAGCAGTGGGTTATCCATAGGACTGGCAATGTCAGAAGTTGTTGGACTGATGCTAAAATCTATAATGGTGCGATTCTTAAGATTTTGGAAAAATAATACACTGCTGGGATGTTTAGTTCCTACATATTTACGTGAACTTTTCTTTTTTCCTTACTGTAGGTCGAAAGTTTAAGAAGTTCAATAAAGTCAGAGTCATGAGAGCACTCGACGGTGTTGCTCTGCCACAGCCGGTGGGCGTTCCAAATGAAAGCCAAAGAATCACCTTCTCACCAAGCCAAGAAATACAGTTGGTCCCCCCACTCATCAACCTGCTGTTGAGTATTGAACCGGACGTCGTCTACGCAGGACATGACAACACCAAGCCCGACACCTCCAGCTCTCTGCTGACCAGTCTCAATCAGCTGGGCGAGAGGCAGCTGCTATCTGTAGTCAAGTGGTCCAAGTCCCTGCCAGGTAAAGACTCTCAGAGCAGTGCTCAGCAGAGATCATAGTAGATTGTTGGACAGTTTGTTAGTGACCCTCGTGTGTTCTGTGGGGATGCAAAAGAAGCAGAGAACCCATCGAGTTTGATCTTTTTTTTTTTTTTTTCCTGTGGTACTAAGGATCGAACACAGGACCTTGTGCTTGCCAGGCAGGCACTTATGCGGCTGAGCTATATCCCTAGCCCTGAGTATTGATCTTAAATCAAGACTTAACGTACATAAAACAGTTAAGAACTAGCAAATGTGTGTCCATCCACAGATGTAACAGTACTTCAGAGAAAGACATATTGACAATTTCTTTAAAATGTGGCGTTTATTCTAAAACTTAGTTGAAGCAACGTTAATTGCTCAAAAATAAAATTCAAAGTATCGTCTCATGTAATGAGTCAAAATTCCGAGATTAGTAAGGCATCTAAGGTCATCTGCAGAAAAAAATTCTAAACAAAAAAGTTATTTGGACATAGAGAAAGTAGCCTCCAGTCACTGTTTCCTCTAATTACTAGCCAAATGAGGGGCGAGAGCTCGGCAGCACGGAGGCCTGAGGTGGTATCCCCAGGAAGGCTCTGCGGTCGCTTTGTCCCCCAGCCCGTCCCCTCTGCGTAGCTCCACAGAAGCCGAGTGTCGCAAGCACAGGGGCACAGCTCTCCCTTGGTTCCGTCGTAGACTGCAGACCAGAAAGAAGGTGTGCAGCGCACGTGTGTGGAGGCGCTAATGTCATGATTAGAAACAGGAAGCGTTTCTCAAAGATGACATTCTCGTCACACCAGTAATATCTGCATACTTCTCTAGACCAATGTATTTTTCCAATACCTAATAAGAATTAATAGTGGGTCCTCTACTAAGCGAAATGTGCTGATAGTGTTGGTAAAATTATTATATAAAATGTATATTTTAATTTTTCTATTCAGGTATGATTTTTGATAGAGGTTATATTTCTTTTCTTTGCAGTTTTATGTTCAAAAAAATTCTTGCATTAGCTGACAAATGTAGAAAATAAGCAATTATTGTTCAGAAGTATAATTTATGTATAGCAACACTGGCATTACATGTACTGTTGCCATTAGCCATCAACAAGTGAAGTATTGGGGCTAGTGAGGTATCGTGTGGCCTGCGGTCTTTTTAAGCCCTGTTGCAGAGCCTGCCTTTGGATGTAGCACTGCTGGTTGAATGATGAACGTGGTCAACAAACGCAAGCGACCCTCTTAGCTTCTGAGGGCCCACACGGACATGTTTATGCTCTTGTATCAGTTGATAATCCAAACTGGTTTCAGTCAACTTTAAACAATGTTAGTTTTTATTTACTGATTCACTCATTAGATGCCTAGTATATACCTTCCCCAAAAATAGCAGTGTTAGGAAAGGGATCCAGAAAGCTAGATTCATGGCGTAAAGGCATTTTGGTACAAGATATACTAGCGTGTGGTTACTAGTTCCACACACTGGAGAAGTTTACTTTATCCAGTCACTTAGATGTGGTAATGCTAATGAGTGACAGATACTTTGATTAAAGTAGCCCTTATACTGGGACAGAGTATGATGTGCTTTACAGTACAAATAAGCATCCTTTGCTGGACTTACCAAGTCATTCCTTTCCAATAGGAAAGTCTATGGGGGAAGTTGGGGTAAGAGCTGATGCAGAAGGATCATATAGCAGTAGTGACAGCGCACACGGGGCCCTCGGCCTAGGGCCGCAGGTGCTCGGCGGGCTCGGTGCCTACTCGGGGCTTGTTCTCTTATCTCTCTGTACATTTTCATTATTTTTGACCAGTTACAATAATTTCAGTTTGTCTCACTTCCCTGTATATTTAAAAAAAATTTTTTATGGAATAGAGACTTGCAAGAGACTCTATCTTCCTGACAGAATGCTTACAAATCGTTGCTTAGGATACAGTGCACAGATGTACAGCATTTGTGTATAAGTGATTTTATATTGACTTTTACCTGTAGCTTCAGTAAGCAATATGTGGAGTTTAGAACAACACAATATCTGTGAAATTCAAAAAAATTTTTTTACCATTTTCCCATAATTTTATTGATAAACAAATAGCAGTGAGACAGTTTCAAATCAAATTGGTAGGACAGTTTCAATAATTAACACATTGCATATATTCTTCCTAGTGGTTAAGTGCTGTACAAGATGCGGACATGATATCCTATCTACAAACACCATTAGAACAAATCCCTCTATTCATTAAGAGAATGTAACTATATATCTATCCTAACCATTTTGAATACACAGATACAAAATGGACATTCATCTGTATACCCTTTTTTTTTGTTAAGTTCCATTATTTGAGTATTATAGGTGTGTTAACTCAGCAAAATAATCCAAAAGAGTTCAGTAGTCCATAATAGTATTGGGTCTTCCGCTTCACTGGCAATGTCAGAAATTGTTGACCTGAGTCCCCTACAGCTCAACATAACAGCATGGCTTTACTTCTTATACTTTGTTTTTATACTTTTCTGCTGGATGGTTAAGACCAAGGTAAAGCAGGACCTGTGCAGCAAGAGTTGTAGCTTTTGGGTCTGATAATGTCAGTGAAGTCCCCTCAGGATTTATCCTGAGATCCTGTATCTCAGACTGTAGAACCTTTGTCAGTGTCAGCCATGTGGATGAGTCACGGCCATTGCTTGGCCAATGTGCTCTCTGTGAAAGCCTGAGAGAATGTTTTCTCTCCATGTGACTCTCCTTAGACACAGTCTACATCATCAATCACTTTCCTTTTTGGCCCCATAATCTCCTTGAAATTCAAAATTTTAACAACACATATTTCCTTTATTAAATAACTTTTGAGCCAGTGAGAGAAATAAATGCCAAGCTCTGTGTGAACGTGGTATGAGATACAAATATAAAGAAGGTGGGGCAGAGGCACAGTGAGCATTGGGGCTAGAAATATGAGGAGCAGGACTTGGGTCTTGATGGCAAGAAGAAATGCTCCAAGTAGAAGGAAGAGTGTGGTCTAGGCTGTGAGGAAAGGACTGCTCCAGCTTCATTTGGCGATGGATGGGCCAGGCCAGCGGGAGGCAGCAGGTCCTGTCCAGATGTGGGAGTCCCTCAGGAACATCAGAACTTGCGTCACATTGCTAACCTCATAGAATAGTAACAAAAAGGGGTTTTTAGCTGCTAAGTGAGAAAACGTATTTGTGCCTCTGAAGCCTCAGATAGTTCTGCAGGAAGGACATGCCTTCTGTGGGCTGCGTTACCTAGGTGCCAGAATGCCCAGCCAGGGAACACAAAGTGGGGTGAGGAGGGAGAAGCGAGGCCGGAGGCAGGAGTTACAGGCGCACCCGGCAGAGCTTTAAAAGTCAGCAGTTTTTAGACATTAAATCCATAAGCACATTTTGAATTCATTTCATCTTAAGCACTTTTCATCCTGTGCATAAACGGTAGCAGAATTAAGCTACCAGGGAAGACTGGGAGCAACAATTCCCTTTCGCACGTTTTGTCTTGATGCTTCAATTTCTTTGGTGAAATATCTATTAATATCACTGCTTTGACTTTTTTTGTGGCGGAACTGGGGATTGAACTCAGGCCCTTGTGCTTGGCAGACAAGCACTTATTCTACTGAGCCATCTCCTTGGCCCCCCTGCTTTGACATTTTGAACGTTGCGTTTTTGAGTGCATGCCTTCCTCTTGGTCTTAACCACGTGACTTGCAGTGGCCCACATGGGCAGGCAGGAGCAACGCTTTACTTCATGTTCTGGCTTTGATGCATGCCAGAACATCCGGGTCAGTCAGTCAGCATGTCATGACAAAAGATTTTTACTTCCTAAGTGAAATGAGTAAATCAAATTATTGCTTTGCAAAAAGTGAGAAGACATGGCAAGGGTCTACTAGGACTAAAATTAGGCTTTGATTAAAGGCTTTTGGGAAGACTTACAGAAACAACTTTTCTAACACCTTATTCCACTGAAATCACTGTTGCCCATGTTGAATATTTTTGTCGGATGACAAAATATTCAACAAAATTTTCAGCCCTCACAATGCTTCACCTACACAAAGGGCTGTCAACAAGCTACGTCCTAACTCCAGGTATGCTTGTTCTTCCATGCATCCCATACGTTTGGCGCAGCCTGAGTGCTGTCGAAGTTCTAGACTCCACCTAGACGAACTTCCAAGGCAACGTGACCATCTTCTCATGAAGTCTAACCTCTTTTTTCTGGATCTTGGCATGATACCTCTCCAGAATCTCTGGCATCATTGTGGGCTCACTTTCTTCTTCATTGCTAGGCTAGTTGTCAAATTCTGTGAGCTCTTTATTAAATGTGTCACTTGTTGTACGTACGACTTCCACTGCTAATGCCATCCTCACTTAGTTTAGCGGTAATCATTTTGTACCTAGATTTTAGCCCCCAAACAGCCCTTGATTCTGCCCCAATCATCATCCTCTTGGAACAATTACAGCAAATGATGTCTTCTCCTCTGCTTTTCAGAATTCAGGTGTAAACTCCACAGCCCTCGTACCGAAGGCCTCTCTGTGATCTGCCCTTGAATTTGCACGTTAGCTCTCATGAGTCCTGTCTTCAAGAAACTCTGAGTCTGCTTCCCACAATGCTCCTTGCTGCATTTCTTTCCTCCTTCCGCCATGTTTTGTTTTCCTACCTGGAGGCCCTTCTCTTGTCCCACCTGTTCTCCTGGCTGGCCCCGTACTAGCCATCAGGACTCTCATCTGACGTTTCCCCTACACAGATTTCCCTGCACCTTCCAGACTAGGTAAAGGAACCCTCTCTTCGATGTCTCCCTCACATTTGTCAACAAAGACAATGACACTGTGGATTAGAATCCTTTTCTACTTTTATGTCTGACTCACCAGATTATAAAGGCAGAAACAGCATCTGTGTAATCTTTGTGCTTAGTGGAAACCGTAGTGCTTCCTATCAATTAGGTGTTTAAAAAGAACTTTTAGAAATGTAAAGAGGGCCAGGGAGATGGCTCAGTAGGATAAGCGCTTGACTGGCAAACACAAGGATCTGAGTTCAATCCCCGGTTCCGCAAAAAACAAAAAAAACACACATTAGAAATGTAAAGAGTGAAACTGGTCTGCCCAGAACTACGCTGCCTTTGGAGTCATCCAGCATGCTGGTGATTGCTCACATCGCGTTGAAGCGTCTTCGTCCTCTGTGGAGTTTGCATTTGTGTGTGGAAGTTCCTGTTTTGTGTCAGAAGGTGTTTGGATAAATAATCCTCTGCCTTTGTTTTGCATTAGCCCTTTCAGTTATGTGAAAGAGCATGTGTTTTTTAAACTGAAGTTTTTGTAACTGAACCTATTTTATCAGAACTCCCGAAGCAATGTCAGAGAAATCTAGTAGGTAATACAGGCCATCTCTGTACTGTATTGTTTCTTTTAATTTTTTTAAGAGTTAAAAAAATGGGCAGCCTATAACTTGAACTTTTTTTTATGAATTATCAGGTTATTTAAAAGCCAGGTATATTTTTATACTATTGTTAAACATAATTAGTGTGCATTCATCACTTCTCTCGGTTTTCCATTTTGATTATCATCTCAAACTTTACATGGTCATTGTCACCATTTGGAATTAAATCTGTGTGTTCTCATATTTGTTTCAGTATAAAATAATGGGATATTTTAGTTGATGTAGAAAAGGTTTTACTTCAAGTCAGCATTGGGCATTTATCCCAGGCAAGCCTTCCAAATGGTGAAATAGCGAGAGGTTACTTTCTGAGTTCCAGTCTGTTAAATAGAAATATCTTTCCCGTTTTAAGTATTGGTAATTGGATAAATTTTAAGATATTTAGATAAACTTTGCCTTTTATCTTCCAATAAAAGCATTCATTTATTTCAAGTCATTAATAATCCCAGAATTTAAAAACAAAACAGAAAAATCAAACAGATAAAAATGAACATGAGGGGCCAGGAGAAGCTCAGCAGCACAAGGACGTGCCTGGTAAGCGCAAGGTTCTGAGTTCAATCCCTGGTTAAAAAAAAAAAAAAAAAGGAAAAAGAAAGAAACCATGAGGGAAAAGTAAATTTAAATGTAAACAGAATCATTTTTTCTTCAAAAAAAAATAAACAAATGGCTTATTTTATAAATTTGTAGAATTTTTATAAAACTAGTCATGGGTAACCATAAAGTAGAAGTAGAAAAACAATTGCCTCAAATATTTAAGTATTTTCTTCAGAAAGTTATAAAAGTGAGTATGAAAAAATATGGAGAATATAAAAGTGTTCCAGGAGTTTATTTTCTTGGGTACTGGGTGTTACTGTTTTAATATAGCTAACGAATTGACTTTTTACAAGGCGTTTCTCTCTCTCTGTCTCTGTCTCTGTCTCTCTCTCTCTTTGTCTCTGTCTCTGTCTCTCTGTCTCTGTCTCTCTCTGTCTCTGTCTCTCTGTCTCTCTCTCTGTCTCTGTCTCTCTCTCTCTCTTTGTCTCTCTCTGTCTCTCTCTCTGTCTCTCTCTCTGTCTCTGTCTCTCTGTCTCTGTCTCTCTGTCTCTCTGTCTCTGTCTCTCTCTGTCCCTCTGTCTCACTATCTCTCTCTGTCTCTGTCTGTCTCTGTCTCTGTCTCTGTCTCTGTCTCTGTCTCTGTCTCTCTCTCTCAAGTTATATATATGAAACCCATACTCTGGGAAATACATATCCCACAGAGAGTATTTATCTTTTGAATTTATTGCCATTTCTAACATTTATACCTTAGTTGCATTAGATAAGTTCTGTAATATGAAATGGCATATAATTTCAGTCTCATTCTATTTTAAAATTAGAGATTTTCTCTCAGACTTAGCACTTGATAGACTGATAATACAGCTTTTATTTTGCTTTGTGATATGCATGATGATCCCAAATGAGTTTATGGCAAGTAATTGAGTTGGTTCTCATGCCTGTAATTTTCTCATTTATGAGGAAATGTAGGTGCAGCGACATAAAAGTGACAAGCCCAGAGTGGCCTTCAGTAAGGAGACGGTGAGGACTGGAATCAGATCTTCAGAGCACATTCTAACGTGACGAGAATGGCCAACAGTAGACAGCAAAGCATGTGCCTTCCTTTAAAAAAATTCCTTTTAAAAAAGCAAATTCATCGATCTTTTATCAAATAAATTATTTTAAATCTACCAAAGAACTACTCATTTTTGAAAACATTGCTCAGTGGACTAAGTGCCTGCTTAGGCAAGCGCAGGACCAGGGTTCGATCCTAGCACCACGTGCTGGGCCAGCCCCGCCCCTAGGGAGGCACGCTGAGCCGGTGACTGAGACTGGGCAGGGGCGCACGCCTGTGATCCCAGTGCTGGGGAGGCTGAAACAGGAGGAGCACTGAGCTCAAGCTGCGTAGCGATACCCTGTACTGAATGCATTTAAAAAGAATGTTAGTCAGTTGATGCATAGTGTTTATATTCTAGGCGTACTGTGTTAAGACTCATGATTCTTTTCTGAGAGGAGGCTAGGTTAGATATGCACATAACAGTGTATTTAAGGCTTATGAAAATAAAGAAAGTGATGAAAATTACAAGCCAGGTTTTCTTTGGGTGGTGGGTACTGGGGATTGAACTCAGGACCTTGCCCTTGCCGGGCAGATGCTTATGCCACTGAGATCTCCCAGCCACTTTTGTCTTAGATGGTTAGTCTTTCTGCACCTGAGTAAGTCAGAAGTCTTAGATGCCTAAAACAAAACAAAAAAACTATGTTAATTATATTTAAAAAATTTAAACGTAGCTATCAAATAAAAGTGAAAGAAAAACATAAAAATACTAAAGGACACCCAGGAGCCACCGAACAGAAATCAGAGGACAAATGTGGAAAATGGGCAGAAACTAAGTTGGGGGGCAGCAGTACAAATGCATCCACTGGACCCCCCACCCCAGGGCACCCCCATTCCGAGAGCATCTACCTGTATCTGCGTGCCCCACTGACCTTGCTGCAGCCCTGCTGCGGCGTGATTCATGAGCCCGGGTCAGCAGGGCAGTCGTCAGCTCCCTTGGTGTGACAGTTGGACATCTGGTGTCACCAGACGGCACCCAGTAGAGATCTGTGCATGCGGAGAGAGAGGGAGGGAGGGAGGGAGGGTGGAAGGGAGGACCCAAACTGCCTTCTCTCCCCACCCCCGCAGGGGGACCCCTGTGGCGCCGAGCTGTGCGCACTGGAGATGTTCTGGGCCCCAAGAGCAGAGCAGCAGTGCTCCTGCTGACCTCGGAGGGCAGGACCACGAGGAGGGAGGGAGGAGGCGGCTTGCGCTCTGCTGCTGTCTCTGCGCATCTCGTGTAGTCAGGGGCAGGTGTCTTCCGCCCTTGGTGGCCAACGAATGAAGTTTTGCTTTGATTTCATTTACGAATTAAGCTATGCAAGTGTGTTTCAATGGATTTTTACTTTTAAAAATTTAAAGAGCTTTAAGATACTGGTTTACAATAGTCTATACCCACATTTCCATCTCTCAGGCTTCATTAGCAGACTTCACCTCCTGTCCTTGTTTTGACTACAGTCAGTTGCAGCTAAATTACATCCTTGTGTTTCTGGCCCAGACGTCTCCCCAGCCCTCCTTGCTCATATGCCCATTTGATACTAGATGCTTCCGAGGACCCTCAATTATGTCCAAAATAGACACTTTTCTCCTGAGCGTGTTACTCTTCCTTTAAAGCATTTTATCTTAGCAATGCTATTACTACTAGAGCATTCGGGGAAAAGATACTGGAAAACATGTTCGAGTCCTTCTTCCTGCCGTTAGCTACTAATCTACAGTAACTAACTTCCTCCAGTTAGCTGCTAAGTCCTTCTCACTTGTGTGTAAATATTTCTCTGAGAACTCCCTCCTCTTAATTCTTGCATGCTGACTTGTTTCTAGCTTTTGTCCTCTCGCCTGGCCTTGGGCAGTGCCTTCCTGACCTCCAGGGCATACTGCCCTGCTAGTGCCTTTGCCTGGGTGCCAAGGACCCACCTGTAACCCCAGCAGGCTGCATGCCTTCCATTGCATTTAACACCTGAGACCTTCTATAATCTGACCCCTGCTTACACCTCCAAGCAGGTGTTGTTAAAGGAAAATTAGATGAAGCACAATTGAAAGCAGTGCTTTTGCAAACTAAAACCTATTTATTTAAATTCTGTAAGATTGAGGTTCCTCAACAAATGGAACATGCTCCACCCAAACACTTTCTTTCTCTTTTAGGAAGCTTTTTGTCACCTGCTTTGCAGCTCACTGCTGTACCCCTTTGACCCTCTGCTCACATGCCTCATGCACCAGACTCTGTTCTGCTCTGAGCTTCTTCTGAGGGCAGGGTTTGGACTTTCGTGTCTTTATAACCCAACATTCTAGGGTAGTGCCGGGCATCGTGCCCTGAACCTCCGGAGGCATTGTCTGGATGAGTGACAGATGGCCCATTCGGCCAGCACGTTCTCAGAGATGCCAAATTCAGTGATCAACTGTAAATCACTCTCAGAATTGTTGCCTTTTTCCATTTCCATCTATATTATTTGCTCATGTTTCCTGAATTTTAGGGTAAAAAATACTGAGATCGAAAACATTACCCTGCTTAGGTCTGTTTTTATATTTCTGTGTACTTCTTTTAACGTTTTCAAAGCAAGATCTTGTGACCATTTCTACATGCTTCGCAGGCTTTCGCAGCCTGCACATCGATGACCAGATCACGCTCATCCAGTACTCCTGGATGAGCCTCATGGTCTTCGCGCTGGGCTGGCGGTCCTACAAGCACGTCAGCGGGCAGATGCTGTACTTCGCACCCGACCTCATCCTCAACGAGTAAGCAGAAGCCCTTCTTCTTATTACTATTATCAGGAATGAGTATGTAGGACAATTTTGAGTATTATATTTCAATAAATGGTCATATATATATTTAATATCCTAAATAATAGAATGTGCCGGAAGATCCCTCAGAATGACTTGAATCCACTTGAAATGATGGCATGAAATGACAATCTTAATAAGACGGGATCATTTTGATCAGTAATTTTGGTATTTAGGACTTTTTACTTTAATTTCAATATATATTATTGCCTTGTATTTATTAAGTTCTTCAAAATTGTGTCAATAAATCTAATTAAAGGCAAAATTAAATATTTAGGTTTATAAAGTTTTCTATCTTAATTCTACTGAAGGTAATAAAATGAATTACAAATATTTTTATTTGAAAGTATTGACTTACCTCTGAAAAATAAAAATACTATCTGTGGTCCTATAAGAAAAACTAGACTAGTCATTTATTTAAAAAATTGAAAGATGATGTTTCAATTTGCCTTGTTATATTTAAATAATTAATTTTTGGCATAAGACAAAATGACATTTAAATAAATACGAAACATTTCATAATCTTTCATAATATTCATAAGTGAATGCTTAGAGTGATTTAAATTAATAACTTATGCTTGTTTCAAGTCTTCAAGGTCCACAATTTTCATGTATTTCATTTCCTGACAACCTGTTAAAATAGGCAAAGAATCATAATCTGATTTACAGATCAGGAAGCATGCTCAGGAGAGCCGGACAGGCTGCCCAGGAGTCTGAGGCTAGCTGTAGCTCTCCGGAGTCGGAGTCTAGCCTTCTGCTCACTGCTCCTGGGGGGCCTTTTTCCTAAAGTGGACACTGCGAAACGGCCTTGGCTGAGAAAATACCTTGACTTCTCTATCGTTGACATCTATTTTTAGTCTTATCAGTTATTTAGGGCCTGCTAACGTCGCGTTTCCGCTCTTCTGTTTCCTATATTGCCATCCATTTCCCCTAGAAAAGGTCCGAACGTGATGATTTTGTGCTGAAGTAATTCTCCCATCTAATGGCAACCCAACATCAGATGCACTCGTGTGTGCCCGTCCGTACATGAGTGTGCGCTTTTATTTTCTCTCTCTTTTCTTTTCTTTCTTTTTCTTTTTTCTTTTTTTTTTTTTTTTGTATTTTAGGAAAGTGTCTATAGGATGTTCAAGATCTCACTACTAGTTCGGACCCGTAGTGATCCGCCTCCCAAGAGCTGGGATTACAGGCGCGCACCTCCACGCCCAGTCTCAATTGCCTGTCACCGCACTGCAGGGCAAGGCCAGTACGGCAGGCCTAGGGATTGTACCCCGGGCCCCTGAGCCTGCTTTCAGGAGCTTAATCCACTGAGCTATGGGATTTTTTGGCTGGCCCTACGCATTTATGTTTTCATGGCAAAAATTTCAGTAAGAAAGAATTTCTAAGCATGCCTCCATTCACATTTTCCACTCCTGTGATTTTTCTGCCTTTTTCTTGGGTTAGGTATTTAAGATGATGATAATGAAAGGGAAAAACAATATTGCTTAGTTTATATTTAACATTTTATAATTTCAAAATTATTTATTTTCCCATCCTCAAAACGTTACTGCCAGAGCTGGGCAGGGTAGCACGCACCTGCAACCCCGCCTTCTGGGAGCTGGAGACGAAGGAGCACGGATTTGAGCTCAGCCTGGGAGTGCGGAGATTTAGCAAGACCCCTCTCAAAACAAAAGGCGGGGTGCAGCTCAGGGCCAATGCCCTGGATTCTGCTTTGAATACTGCCCCAAAAGTGCCTACTAGAAAAAGTTTAAAGATGTTTAAAATTCCAGTAGCCAGTTTGTTTATTAAATATACTCAGTAATATGAGAAATCATTTCTAAAATCGTGTTCCATGGTGCATGACATAAATTGGCTAAGGCTTTTCTTCCCATCGCTCTTTCTTCTGTGCTCATGTGTGGAACAAGACAGAGGATGAAAGAATCGTCGTTCTACTCCTTATGCCTGACCATGTGGCAGATCCCGCAGGAGTTCGTGAAGCTGCAGGTCAGCGAGGAGGAGTTCCTCTGCATGAAAGTGCTGCTGCTCCTGAACACGAGTGAGTGTGCGCCCAGTCGGAACAGGAGGGCTCCCTGTTCCTTCCTGGTGGCCAGGAAGGGCCCTCAAGTGCTGTCACTCATGAAGCCTCAAGTAATGCGATCGTAGAGCATCGATGAGGTGTAGGTCTTGGATCGCAGCTGCCGAGAAGAGATGCCCGGTGTTAGCAGCAACATGAACGAGTGACTTGCTTTCTCATTTTTTACCTACTTATGACACTAAAATAGACTAGCCAGTTGATTTTAGGTAAAATATGCTTAAATTCTTTTTCATGGTCACCTAATTTGGTACTTTACTTAAAAAGTGAGAAACTTGAGAACTTAGAACCAAAGAATTATCTTCCTGGTGTGTGTACGTGGCTGTCTTTTCCAAGAGGAAGCCAAAGTCTGATTATGGTGCAGGAAACAGAGAATTGAAGATTTTTTTTTTCTCACTGCTGGGCATACATAGTTTCCTTCACACTAAATGTGCTTTTTTAATAGAAATTTTGCTAAGACCAAGATCACGAATGTGTAGTCCTACAAGATTAAGAGGCTCTGTGATTTTTCTTTGGGAATCTGGATCTGGCTGCAGAGAAGGGCAAGTAGTTCCCCAAAGCTTGAGATTAGTTTGCACTAATCTTTGGGGCAGCCAAAGCAAAGGTAAACGAGGAAACGGGGTTAGTAGTGGGCCTGCTGGGGAAACCAGCCAGGGTATGCTAACTGGCAACAGATGGATCTCAAAGTTTTAGGAAAAAAAATAGTGGTAAGATCGACAATACATTATAAAGTTAGCATGTATGCCTAAAATCTGAATAGAGAAATGAAAGATTTCAGAGGTGAATACCTGAATTACTAAGTAGCACCATAGTAGGAACTTAGTGGCACTCTTATAAAGTAAAAATAAAACATGACTGTCCGCCCCCGCTTGTGTTCTGTAAATGCTAACCAGTACAGTAATTAGGAAGCAGAAATGAGAGCTGCCACTCCTAGCAAGTGGGAAATAAAAGTGTTATTTGAATGTGGCATTTTTGCGTACCTCTAAAAGATAATCCATGAAAAAGTTATTTGAATGAAACATGGAGTGTTTGGATATAAAAGAAATATTCAGATACTGAGACCTTTTTCTCATATTAACAGGGAATTATTAGAACATTTAGTGAAGCAATACTAAAATGACAACAGCAAGAAGATATATTAGTTAAGAATAATAATCGCAGTGAAAATGTTAGAGATTTGTATGAAAATGAGACAACTCTATAAAGAAATCAGAGTTTATAAAAGAGAAAAGAAATACCCAAAGTGCAGAAACCCTAATCCAAATCCCACCAGCGTAGGAGACGGGGCCAGGGGTCACGCGGGTGTTTTTCCGAGTAAATGCTGAGCTAAACGCATCGCTGATTGGCGCAGTGCCCAGTTAAGCTGCACCCTTCCTCGGTGTACCTTGTTATTCGTATATTCCTCCCCTGTGATAAATTTCCATCTCCTGTCATTACCATCAGCACCTTTTCCTGTGTACGGTGTTTTATGGTGAATTACACATCAGAAGAAATCACTAGTCAGAGACCTGGATTGAGACTGTTAGTGTCTGTGTAATAGCCGCATGATCGTCTCCTTGTAGTTCCTCTCGAAGGGCTGCGGAGTCAAAGCCAGTTCGATGAGATGAGAGCCAGCTACATCCGGGAGCTCGCCAAGGCCATCGGCCTGAGGCAGAAGGGAGTTGTTTCCAGCTCACAGCGCTTCTACCAGCTCACGAAGCTTCTTGACAGCTTGCATGATGTGAGTATGGGCTTTCCAGAACCAATGATTATTTAATGTAAATGATTATTCTTCAAGTTTCTCTAGCTTTTTACATGTTGAATAAGAATTTTCAGTGATACTGTTTCTTCAAATTTGTATTTGTGCTTGAATTTTAAATGTCTATCGCGCTACTAAGCGTTCACATAGTGCAATTTTATTTTCAACATGGAGCGCTCAGGTGTCCTTTCATTAGTGTTAGAAAAACTGTTTATACATATGGGAAAAGTATGGATGTGAAAAGTGAGATGCAGCGCTTTGGATGAAGAAGGAATTAGGTAGAATTTAAGTCTTTTAGTTATTTCTATTTTTTTCCTCTCTGCTGTTGTAAATAATCCAGAAAAGCCCAACATTAGAACTAGGTTAATAAAACAAGATACATGTGGTTACTCAAGACACTGAATCCGAGCTTTATGGCTGCTTTGTTTAGAAACCACATTAAAATGACAGAGAAGGCATAAAAAAGCTCTTCACTCCTCAGGTCAACTTTTAAGGGCTGCGTCCTGAGCAGGAAGAGGTTGCCAGATGCTGGGCTCCTGGAGCGTAGGCGCTGAAATGGGAAAAATAAGCACAGACAAGCAGCTCGCAGGCAGAGGCAGCAGCACGGAGAACAGAAGGAACTAAGATGCTCAGAGAAGTAAAGCTAGTACATCCAGGAAAGGAGGGCGGAGGGTAGTCCAAAGGGGGTGTTTAGCAATAAGAGACTTGCACATAATTAAATACAGGAGATAAGAGGAAAACATAAAGGAACCCCTGGGAGAGAAGATGGCTAAAAGTAGAACATGGAAAAGTAGAAGGGACCCCGCTTTTAAAGGATTAATTGAGACAGTTCCACCATTCAAGAAAACAACTTCCATTAAGAAGGAACAGAGAATCAGGAAGATGACTCTGTAGCAATAAAGGGTGACAGAACTCAAGGATATTTGTTTCTAACTGTAAAGGCACAGGCACTGCGCAATTGCACCAAGATACATTATTATACAAGTTGTGCAAGAAGTAGGGCACGTACAGTGTCAGCAATCAGAATGCCACTAGATTTTTCTGTAGCAGCACCAGAACTCAGAGGGCAATGGGATGGTGCCTTCAGAACTTTGAGGGGAAAGAAAAGTTTCCCAGAGTAGTCTACATACTTAGCAAAGCCATCAAACAAAGCCAAACACAAGGAGCCAAGGAAGAAGTAGACCCGACCAAGAGAGGCACAAGGTGAGGTCCCAACAGTCACTGCACAGAATCATAATTTTACTACAAGGCTCAGGAAGAAATAGAACTAGGAGCTTCTGGCACACGTATCTGCATGAGGTGCTGTCTCACAATTCTCTCGGGGAATTTGACTTTGTGATACATACACAGAAAACAAATCAGAAACAGTGCAAGCCATTATCTTGCAGAATAAATACAAGTTGTATATATAAAAAAGCTTAATCCAGACAGCAACAACACAAATTTGTACAATATTGGATATTGATTACAGTCACACAAAAGATTAAAATATAACTCTATAGAGAATAAAAGAAGAGAAGCTCATCAAGGGGAGCATGTACGGTGTGAGAAGGGAGCTCACTCCTGTTCTCCAGTCCTCAATCAATGTCAAAATTAGAAGACAGAATTTATTAGAAATAGTGATAAGGGCCAGGGAGATGGCTCAGTGGAGTAAGTGCTTCCCTGGCAAGCGCAAGGGCCTGAGTTCAATCCCTGACTCCACAAAAAAAGAAAAGAAAAGAAAAATAGTGATAAATGTCAAAAGACAAGCTAAAGATACTGAAGTCATATCTGGAAAGCTGGAATAATAATAGGAAGACATTTTGGAGGGCTGATAGATCTTGGTGCTGCTGATGTTGCTGTTTATATCATAAATTTTAGAGTACCATTTAACTTCTTAAATTATACAGTTAAATCAGTTTACTAAAATTAGAATAAAATTAATTGTGTTGAATTATTGATTATGAAATAACTGCATTTTGAAATGGTATGTATATAATTTTGCATATAAACTTGTGTACACCTATGTATATATACAAAAACTACCCAAAATACAACAAAAATATTTACCTTGTTGATCTTGTGGGGACACCAACAGCGTTTATTTTGTAATTTTTTTCATATTATCAGAATGTTCATAGGAGTATAAAATATATTACATTATTTTAGAGTAGCAAGAGTTATTTTCATTTTGGTAAGAAAAAAAATCTCTGTAAAGACTGGCCAGATAGCTCAGCGGACTAAGGCATCTGCTTAGGCAAGCACAGGGACCGAGTTCGATCCCTGGCCTGCCGTGCCGGCCCTGCCCCCGGGGGCGCACTGAGATGGCAGCTGAGCCTGGGCGTGGTGGTGCGCGCCTGTAATCCCAGCGCTTGGGAGGCTGGACACAGGTGGATCACTGCAAGTCTGAGCTCTATAGTGAGACCCTGTAGACCCTGTACTAAATACATTTAAGAAAAAAATTGGTATTTCTGTTGTTAGAAAAATAAGTTGCATTAGAATGGCACGTGTATTTATCGTTTCTCTCACATGCTTCCTTTCTGCCTGCTAAACCAAAAGCTCGTCAAACAGCTTCATCTGTACTGCTTGAACACGTTTATTCAGTCCCGGGCCCTGGCTGTTGAATTTCCAGAAATGATGTCTGAAGTCATTGCTGCGCAGCTGCCCAAGATCCTGGCAGGGATGGTGAAGCCCCTTCTCTTTCATAAAAAGTGAATGTCATAAGTTTCTTTCAAAACATTAAATTTCGTGGTTTGTATTTTTGTGGTGGCTAGGCTGATGAGGTTTCTAGTTTTTATAAAATTCTTCTGAAAGCCTTACCTTTATAACATATCATGCAATGTAAATTTGTGAGGAAATGTGAGTCTGATTTTCCCTTGTAAAGCATAAGTAGAATGTTTAAAGTGTTTTGTGTACTTATATTTTATCTGAGTTTACAAAAATGCCAAAGTACTAAGACTTGAAGTAGGCACTGTCTTATCCATATTATTTCATGCCACTCTAGGTGAGGATCTTAACCGTTGCATCTAACCAATGTACTTTAGAGGAGAAAGAACTCATATATAATAACAAAAAGCAATTATATGTGTTACTACTGGGTAATTCCTCTTTGTTTTTATAATTTTCGAAATGAACCTTTAAAATGGTAGGCAAAAGTTAAACATTACTCTGAAAATTCACAACCTTAGCCAAGTTGTCAGAATTTTTAATGCAAAATATATAGGTCCAGACTTTTAAACCACTGAAATAACTGATAGGTAAAACAGGCCTTATAATGGTTATTTCCCAAATTTGAAACACAGATTGATCCATAAAGACAGTTTAATATGCAACAATATCACTAAGACCACAGTAGTGGGAACTTTGTAGGTTTCTTTTTTTTCTTTTTAACCTTTATGAGGGGTTATGCTCAAATAAAGAGCTTCGAATAGAAATAAAAAGCAAAAGATCCTGGGACCTCCTTTCCATCCCTGGCAGGTGGAAAATCAGCCTTCTCGGTTCAGATGCCTCACCTTTCAAAGTGGTGTAATAGTACCTTTGCCCTGTCAAATGCTTTTGTTGGTCGGAGCTTTTTAGCATTTTCTCAAACCAAAGAAAAGATGGGGGTACTATTTGTTTTTCCAGAGCTCCGCAGGGATGATGATGTTCTTTTAGTGAAGCTAAGTAGATGACTCAGGTTGAAACTTTTTGTGTGTCTGATCAAAAATGTGAGCTTCAGGAGTAGCCAGATCTCAGGTGGAATTTCCGAGTGCCTCTGACCCGTTTCCAAAAATGCCAGATGCTGGCTGGTAGAGCACAACTGAGCACGGGAACTAGATTAGTTCATGCACATCGTTATTTTAACTGCAGATATTCCTTTGGAAGAGAGGTGAGTGTTCTTTTCTGAAATAAATCACTGGACATCTCTTTTAAAGCAGAAGAAAAAATATATACCCATGAAATTTTTACCACTAATAAAATTCAATCAGAGTAAATTATTGAGATTTTTCATAAATACTAATTTTAGACTCTGTGTGTGTGTGTGTGTGTGTGTGTGTGAGCATGTGTGTGTAGTATTTAACAATTTAACAGCTCAGAGAAACTAGTATCCTCAAGTTTTTCTAAGTTTCTTCTAAAGTAGACACATTGCTATCTTACAGAAGAGATTGCGCTATCAATAGGTAATAATAAGATTAAACTTTGCAAGCAATGTAGAAAAATTCTAATTGGCAATTTCTGTTTTCTTAATGCATTTTAATTACCCACTTATTTTAACTGATAAATATCTGAAGCTTATCAAAGGATAGAACAAAAATATTCTTAACACGTGGGGCCCTCAAAACATGGAACAGTGGTTTCATGTGATAAAAAACTAGCATAATTCTGTTAGCATAAATTTAAAAATACATTTTCCAATTTAAAAATTAAGTTAGCTATAGAGTATCTATAAATAATGGATCCACGTTAGAGACAATTAGAGACTAAAATATACTCTAACCAGGTCTCTTGGCTCAGGTTGATTAGATCTACTGTCAAATCTAATAGGTAATCTAACATGCTTATAACAGTCAAGGAAAGTTTAACCCACACATTTCAAATACTCTGCATATTAAAATAGAACGGCTGCTTTCTCACTGTCTCTATGCAAATGTCTTTTTCTATAATATATGTGGAATACATTCTATTCTTCGCTGGTATTTGCTTCGTCAGTCTTCATACATACAGACTTCTCTCTTCACTCTTCAGGGCCACAACTATCTTCCAAAAGGGAATTTAATTATACTACGTCCTCTGTGAAAAACGCTCACTGGTTTTCAGTTACTCGTAGCTGCATGTTGGAATTTCAAAGAGGGTTTTAAAAAAAATCATTACCTTAAAACCTCCTTGGATTCCATCCTTCACAATCATATTTCAACCAGTGAGTGCACTTGATATACTCCTCCCATGTTCCAGCCGTGACAATCTTGTAGCATTAACTTTGCTTCCAGAATTTTCTCTGTTGATATCCTACACCTCGTGTCTTTATAAGCCCCCAAGACGCAGCCAGATAACATTTCTAATCTTCTCAAGTCTTCAGGGTGGTTTGCTTTCCCCTCGGTTCTCCTGCCATCTTGTACCCTCTGAACCACAGAGTCACATACTTTAGGCTTCTCGCTCCTCTGCAAGTCTGAGAACCTCTTTGCGACGGAGCGCTAGCGTTTTGTCGGCAGAGAGCTGGATGACCAGTTCTGGGTCTTCTGTTACCTGCGCCTCTGTCACTCTCGGGTTTCACTGCTGAGTGGACTTGTTCCCATGACCCAGCGCTTTTCCCGCGTCTCCTTTCTCACGACCTACCTCCATTTCACTTCTCTTCGGCACCTCAAAATTTTTCATCCTTTCCACTACTTTGTGAGATTTCACTTTTTATTGACTAATGTAAGAGTACATTTTGTATGTACTAAGGACAATACTTTTGTTTTGTGGCATGTCTTCAAACTGCATTCACAGAATATTACTTCCTTCCCTATAAAAAAATCCCACAGATATAACTGTTGCTTGTATTTAAGTAGCATTGAATTGTTTTGCACTTCAAACCTGAATATAAAGTTTTCCTCATTTCTAATTTCATTCAGATATTGATTGAATATCTTATATTTGCATATAAAACATGCTGATAAGCTTCTTGAGAATTTGGAGCGGATGAAATACTATAATTCAAAAAAGGTAGAGTCCAGTGTCAGGTATAAATCACAGTGTCTGACAAGTATTTGTCAAAAATATAAATTTTTGTTCCTGAGATTTAATAGGTGTAAAGTACTGTTTACATAGAATTTTTTAAATACAAATGTTCATAAAAACAAATTTTTAAAAGTTAATATTAAATAATTTCTTAATATAATCAGGGATCAGTAATTTATTTGCACTAATCAGTATGTACATTTGTTTGTTGAAAAAGCAGTTATTTTCCCACAAATATCCTCTTAATAACAGTATTTTTAATATATCCCATGCAGAATAATTAAGGGAAAATTACTTCTGTGAAAGGATTTGGCATAATTATAAGAATGTTAAGTGTGTCCAAAAGTCCAAACCCAATCCCATGTCATAGTCCTTTTAAACTCAGGTGGTAATCCCAGGGAACTATTGAGATGTGAGTCTTTTGTTGGTTGATTCTCATTAGTTGGAATAAAAAACGGTAACTGGATTGTATAAATCCTTTCCCACATCATCATTTAATTTCCACAGTAACTGGAAATTTTTCTAATTTTTACATAACTATCAGGGAATGCAGCAGATTGGCACCTGCTAGGGCGTAGCTGTTGTGTGACAACTTCGTAAGGAGGTTTGGTAGTCTCTGTTTCACACTGGTTCACAATGTAGATGTCTAAACAGTGGGATTTAATACTTAAGGCTGAGATTAGATAATGAAAAAATAAATTTCAAAAAGAACATGACATTACCAAATGAATGGAAAATATCTTTGATTCCCAGTACCAAAAAACCCCACCAGCAACAAAAAGAAAACCGTGGAAGATATCTAGCCCTACCCAAGTTCCTGCTAAAGATATCTGGCCCTACACAAGTTCCTGCTGCTAGTGTCGCTGTTACTGTTCGGTCATACAATCTTTATCTTCACTTTTCAGGTCATGCTCTTTTTGGTAGGTCTAAAGTAAAAGGAAATCCTAAGAAGGCAAGTTGCGCATCAAGAATACTTGAAGATTATTGATATATGCTCTTCAGTAAATAGAAAAAGTGTTCTAAAAAGTTGAAAAGTTATTTGAGTCAGAAGCAATGACACTTGGGATTTTTTTTTACTATTTTATGACTTTCTTAATGTTTAAGGATGTGGCTTTTTTACGTAGCTAGCACTTTGCTGTTATTCTTTCACTTTCAACATTAAAATAATGTATGAGTACACTGATGCCAATATGGTAGGTAATGTTTCCCCCACAACCATGCCTTTTACATGGCTACTGCATGCGAGCCTGTAACTCCCACAGTCAGGCCCATGTCCTGAGCAGTGGCCTCCCAGAAGGAGCCAGCCTAGGCCCGCGCCTGCTTCCCTGCCAGTTTCTAGCTAGGTGAGTGCGAGTTAAACTGTCTTCTATTCAACCTTCCCTGCCTGTTTTGTGATTAATAGAAACGGAAATAAGTATACAGGTGTTCAGAAACAGTAATTGTCGTGATTGCATTTTCAGTACTTCATGGTTCTGGCTATGACTGATTACACTAATATCTGTATTTTATAGTGAAACCAGGAAATCTGGAGTCTCCTTTACTTCTATCACTACGCCTGATTATATATTTGGCTGATTTGATCTGGAATTAGTGCTGGGTATATTCAGTTAATTTCTTCCCTTAAAAAGATCGTCATTTGAGTTTGGGGCTTGTTTTCTCAGAAACCTAATGAGCCTATCACACTTTCAATATCTGAGAATAATTATTGAAGTTGACATTTTTCAAGTGTCTCTTAAAATATACATATTTTGACTAGAACATACCTTTTGAGAAGTCTATTAACTACGCCCTCAGATTATTTTTACTGAGGCAGTAACTATAGAAAATTCAACAATGAGATTAAAAATCATGAATTTATTCACCAAAAATAACATTCCTATCCTGATGAAGGTTATGATGAAAGGGACCCTCATGTCTGCTTTGATCTGATATCTGAAGTAGGTGGCTATTAATTTTTAGTTTTGGCTGTGAATACCTGAATAATTTCTATGACCTGTATTTGCCCTTTACAGATCAGATTTCAAAGTTCCTGAGTTTGATTCCAGGATAGAATGTTAATCC